TTGCTCAGCTGAAATTGTATGGGATATTTTTGTACAGTTAGATGAAGAAAATAATTCCTCACTTGTAAGTTTTGCTGGAAGAAGCTGCAATTGCTCCTTGTTAAAAGAGTTGTCACTGAATAATTGACCCTGGTGGCTTGGGAGAAACTGGAGGGACTTAGAATTCCCCGCTTTATCCCCACTGTGCCTACTTTGCAGTGTCGGTGCTCCCAGGGGGTTGAGGAGCTGGCTGCTGGGGTTTCCTAGCTCTCATTTAGTGTTGTAAGCACAGCAGTCATTATTTCCTGAGGTTCACCAGAAGTGACTCAGAGCAGGAGATCAGGGTGGCACCTCTCTACTGTCACTTGAGATCTTCAGACAAATTGTAAAGATGAGACAGGCCGGAGAGCTGGAAGGGAGTAGAGGGGAAAAGATTGTGGCTTCAAAGCTTAAAGCTTCAACTCCTCGATGCCATAAACAGGCATGAGAGAGTTTCTGCTTGTTACCTGGATTTTAATAAATAAATTGATCACTTCACATTTAGTCTGTTTTCGTTAATTATATCGAAAAACATTTGTATCGTCAGGATATGCAGCACTAACACATAACCCCAAGTTTTTAGTGGCTTAAAATATCAGAGATTTATTTCTTCTTGCCAGGAGCTCAGTGGGGCTGGCAGGAGACTCTACTGCTTTGCCCCCACCCAGCCTCCCAAGCTGATGGGCCTCTGCTGTCTGGAATACTGCCAGCAGCCACGGCCTGGGGCAGGGAATGTAGCAAATCCCGCAGGAGCTCTTAAAGGCTTCGCATCAAAAATGATGTATATTTACTCATATCTCATTGGTCAAAGCAAGTCACATGGCCATATCTAGCTTAAGGGAAGTATAACCTGACCATGTGCATGGATAGAGGTGGGCCAGTCTCAGTGAAGGCCACTGCTGGCCACTACAGGGGTGAGGATACTTATGTCATGCCCACCCCGAAGGCTGGTACTGACAGAGCCTCACACACATCAGAAAGCACTGGATAGAAATGAACACCACTGAAAAGGGGTTGTGTTAACAGATTATGAAAAACTGGGGATTTTTTTCCTTTTTAAAAAAATGTCTATAATATTTTAATTTAAAAACTGAAAAATTTGTGCAAATGTGAAGTTGTAATCATAGAAGTGTACCCCTTTTTCCTCTATAATTATCATCATTGTATTATCTTCTTAAATGAGGCTTTACTGGGACACTTGCCATAGGTGACCCTTATATAGAGGTGTGGTATTGAACTTGACCTAGCCTCTGTCTTTTGAAAACAGAATGCCCAAAATCATATACCTCCCAGGTTCAAAATGCTCTCCCAGGTTGTGGGAATTCAGGGTGGCGAGAGGCACTGGCTAGTAACAGCCCCAGAGTGTGATGACAGAATCGGGTCTCACTCTGCCACACACGCCAGCCCAGGGCAGGGAGGCACCGTGTGCACAGAGTGGCTTTGTCCGTCCTGGGTGCCGGCTGCTCCTCTTCCACTTCTGCACTGAAGTGCCACATTCCTGGGGTTGGCTCTTGTGAGGTTTAATGGGAGGTCTGACAAGGGTGTTTTGTTGGGTTCTTTTGGCTCCTGCAGGTGATGACTTGTTTCTTCCCGCACAGTTGCTTTTGTGGGAGTTGCTCTGCTTTCCCTAGCACTCCGGCTCAGAAAAGCCCCAGGGATTTTCACTGAAGTGGGAGACCTGTGCTTTTACATATCTTTGGCTGCACACAATGAGTGTGTACAGAATTGGGAGGTGTTTAATGAGATACCTGAAGGGGATGGTGATTTATACAGATGAACCTTAAGCAATGCCTTCTCAACCATTCATTCATCCTAAGCAGCGATTTTCCAACCAGTATGCCACAAGAATTTTTAAAACATGCAACACCTGACTAGCTGAGCTCTTTTCCCATAGATTGTCAAATTTAAAAAACAAAACAAAACTGACAACAACCAATACAATAATAGCTAACCTGTATAAGTGAGTCAAAATTATACCTATTTTTGTCAGATCAGCAAAACATATTTTTTGGTGTGCCACAGAATTTTATAAATTAGTTTACGTGTGCCATGAGATGAAAAAGGTTGAAAATGATTGAGCTGGAAGCCAGGAGTTTTGATAATTATTTTCCAGTATTCTCTTTTCACTGGGAAAGGAACCCTCAGGTACCATTCCACCATCTCTTCTCCCCCCACTCTCACCTCTGTCCACGTTCCTCATTCTCCAGCAGTCAGGGCCACCCGACAGCTGCGACCAGCGTTCCCTTCACAGTGGGCAACATAGTGACCGCCACCACGGCGCCGAGCATGCTGCACCGTGTCTCAGATACTGTGGGAAATCGAAACATACCTATTAAGTTATAGAGACTTTTCACAATTTTTTAAAAGCATCCTTTTGGGAAGATATAGGAAAGTAAAGCAGATATCTTTGCCATCAGCTAAGAAATTTTTTCTTCAATATATTCTTGTTACTCTGAGGTGAACCCCTAAGTTTCCAACATACATTGTAAGTCTTTTTTCTTCTTTTAGCTATAAGCACTTTTCCATCTCACTGACTTATCGGGCTTCCCACTGTCTCTGGTTCATAATCACACCCTCCAGGCCGACTTCGCAGCCAGAGTCCGGGGTGGAGTTGTACATCGGGCTCCTGTCCTTCCGGCATCAGTTGGATCTTCCATCTTTGGCAGCTCACAGCCGTCCACAGGGACGCCCAGAGCTGTCTCCGTGGTTATCAATGGGTCACATGCCTTTCACTTGTATAAACACTTGCACCTCTTCATTTTAAAGTGGCTTTTGAAGTTTCTTGTCTACCTTAACAGCCTGTTGACCTATAAAGACTGTAAAGAAGGAAGAATAAGGGCAAATTAAGGGAGAGTGAGAGCTCTTTGAGTTTGTAAGGAAAAGCACTTCACAGCAGTTTGCAGCCTGGGAGCAGTGAATGTGGAAACCGAAGAGGAATCGGCAAGCTGGAGGTGTGGGGGAGGGGTCGTGGGTCGTGGCGCAGCGGAGACCAGGCCTCATCCTGCGATTGTTGTAGGAGTGGGAATCAGTGCCCGTCTGAGGAGTGCCGGCTGTGCAAGCGCAAGTGCAAGTGTAGGCTGTGCGCACAAGCGCACACACAGTTTGGATATGGGGGAAAGCCCGACATTGAAAGCCCGCAGATGCTCTGCTTGGACGGGGAGCGGCAGTATTCTGCTGTGGGTACATTCCAGAAAAATGTGCTTTTCCACATATTAACAGATACTGTCTTTGAGATGTGTCATTTTGTGTACTTCTGTTGTCCCTTTTAAAGTGTGCTGGATCGTGAAGGAACACTGAAAGTTATGCATCTGTGGCCTGTCATAGATTCTTTCTGTTTAGGGAAGTTTCCGTGTTGAAGTGGCTTTCCCTTGCTATCAGTCCTTGCCTCTGGTTCCACATATTTCCTGTGTATGTGACTTTGAGTGGAGGTGGCTGGATGTTTCAGGTTGTCACTGAGCACCAAAGTCATATCATCATTTCTCTGAAAGTAACTGTCTCACAAAAAATCTGTTTTCATCAACCTTGTTGCACCTAATCTTGTTTATGGAGCTCTGAGCAGTTCCTGGGATGCTACCACATTAATACTGATCAAGCAGTTGGTTGAGGGTCGTCTTCAGAGATGTGGTCCTTGCCACGATTTAAGCGTATTGATCAGACTTCTTTGCTGAGTGCTTGTGTTTCAGTATTGAGACAGACTTGGTGTAGTGTTCTGCCTATCTTTGAAGGCTTTTCATCCATGGCAAGAGCTCTGTGTCTCTCCACTGGAAGCCTAGCAGATTTAGGGACAGGAGGATCCTGGAGGGGGCCGATGAGAAGTCTTCCCCTTGCCTGACTGCCACCAGCCCTGGAAGTGCAAAGCTAGCAAGTACATATGGCTCTTGGCATTAGGAAACCTTGCTGAAAATGAAATTAAAATTCCTCTGCCGGACAGGAAATTAATCAGGGCTGAAGGTGGTAGATAGGAGCATAAGCTCCACTCCTCCTTCCTTCACGAATGACTGTTTTATTATTATGCAAACGAGATGAAATGCACAGTGACTGGTGGGGGTTGTGAGGAGAGGAGAGAAATGAAAGAGGTGAACGAGTTCCTTAGAATTTAAACTCTGGCAACAAAAATGTTTTTTATAGCATCTGCTGCCTCTTAGTCCATCAAATGCTGAGCAAGGGGAGCTCCTCAGCCCCTTTTGTCCTTGTTGCTGCAAAGCAGCCTTCATCACAGTGTGACACATTGTGATTTCTTCATTCCATAACACTTCCAGATCATCTGGGGTGAACCAGGCCATATACCAAGTGCCAGGGCTAAGCCATGAGAACACCCTGCCACTGCCTTTCAGGAGTTTAGGGTCTTGTAGGAAAAGGATATTGGAAAGCATTAAGTCTGCAGAGAGCCAGGCACATGAGCAATGGTGTCATACCACTTAGGGTTCTTTGGTTGAAAAGTAACTAAAACAGGACCCGGCAGACTTTAGCAAAAAAGGAATGAATGGGTGAATGGGAAACTGACCAGTCATAAAGGAGTTTGGGAAGGAAGCTCTGGAGACATACAGAGCAAGAACTAAGGGACTGTCTCTCCAGGACCCTCAGTCAAATGCATCGACTCCAAGCAACCCTGAGTCCATGCACTCAAGATTCAAACTCCCGAAGAAGGTATCTGAAGGACCCTTTAGGCCACTTGTCCACTTTTTGGCTAAGAAAAAGAAGAGAGTCAGACAGTCCCATAAAGGTTGTGTGCAGTGGCAAAGGGATCTTTCCCCAAAGAGAGAATGAGTGCTAGAGATGCAAAGACGCAGGTGTTTACCAGGGTGTTGTCAAACAGCTGTTGCTGCGTCTCTCGGGATTTGCTGGTCAGTGAGCAGGCGTATGTTCTGTTTGGGGCGTGTTCACTGTTGAGCTTGTGATGGTCTGAAGCCATGAAACTTAGAATCACTAGCCTGTCGCTGTGTCACCTCACTGGCATTTCTTTCTTGTTCTCTGGATTCCAGTGTGAACAGTCCCATCTCATGAGAGAGCATGAGGATGTCCAGGAGCGGACGACACTTCGATACGAGGAGCGCATCACAGAGCTCCACAGCATCATCGCTGAGCTCAATAAGAAGATAGACCGTTTGCAAGGCACCACCATCAGGTAGTAGCCTTCACATCATGCCTTCTCTCTGCCCCTCTGGGCTGTAGCCTGGGTCTTGGGGTTGAAGCTGCCCCCATGAATTATAATGATGTTTTATTTGTAACTCAGACTTTTACAATTGATAAAATAGTTTCTCTTTGCTTTGTTCGCCACGTGCTTTCCCCTTCATTCTGTTCTAATTAAGGGTGGCAGTTGGAATCCTCAGTTTATTAGGGTGCAGAATCAGAAGTTGAATGAGATGCTTTATTAACAAGTTCTACACAAGCCCCTCTTTCTGAGAGACCAACATCCCTAACATGCCTTTTACTCACCAGGTTTGTTCTCAATGTGTAAACCATGTGCCTCGGTGGGAGATTTTGAGAGATTTTGGAATGAGACTTATAATTAAGCATTACATGGGCTTCTAGATAATCTAATAATATTTTGAGCTGACCTCAAGTTGATTTACCAACATGGACTTCGCCTCTTACAAATTCCTAAGGCAGGGGCAAGATTCGATCCATCACTAGTGAAAAGGCTGGGCTCGATGTTAAGGGTCTGCTTTTTCCTTGCTTGTCAGTCAGTTGGCCCCAAGCCTCCTGCACACAGTACTTGGTGTGTCTGCCTGCTATTCAGGGCAGAGGTTTTGCTTTAAGTGACTTTTACTGAGCTGAGGATGAGAACTGTTATCTTCCTGTCTCTGCTCAGGGCACTGCCCTGAAGAAAGCACTTACCTTTATGGAGAAAGAGTACTTTGTTCATTGAATGTCTGCACAAGCCACAGGTACAAGCATTGGAGGCGGCTGCTTTACACTTTCCCCACAGAAGGCCTGGGTTAGAAGGGTTAGAAGAAACTTTGGATGCATTTTCTCCCAACTCTGAGAGTCGTCGTAATGACAGGGCTCCTTGATGAGGGTACAGTTGGGCCTGTGTTTCCTGGGCAAAATTGTGGAAACGTGTGCCCTGAACTGGAGCCACACAATAAATTTCATATTCTAATTTAGAACCTCAAGACTTTTAAACTGCATCCTGGTCTTCAGAGTAGATTGTAGGTTAGTAATGCATGAGCAGAGAAGAACTCTCGGCCCGAAGAAGCGATTATAGCAGAGTTAAAGGAGGCTGATAGACTAAGATGTCAGATTTGTAATTTTCATTAAAACATGTTGCACTTTAAACACTTGAAGATGAAGGAAGGCAAATAGGCTCAGTGAGTTGTGAAAAAAACACATCACATATATCACCTGGAAAACTCAATGTCAGGATGCTTAAATTGATGATCATGGCCAGACTGCTTCATGTGAAAATACAGTGAGCTTCGTGAACATAAACATTTACTTGTGCCTTTTATTTAGAGGAAAATTATATCTGTCTAGATGTGTCGTTAAGTTCTGCCAGTTTTCATTATGGAAACGGGCTGGTCCCTCCTTGAAGTGACCCCCGAAGGGCTGGAACACATGCAGATGTGGGGGCCAGTGCGACAAGGCTCTCCTTGTCCTCGGAGCTCGGCAGCCAAGGCATCGCCCCAGCCCCCAGCACACCAGCAAATTTGCCCTCAGATCCTGAGTTCTGTGACAGGCTCAACAGCAGCCATACACCTCGGGCAAATTCTGATTGCCCCAGCATACCCAGGGTCTAGAGAACTGATGGTCATACAGTCACCTACAATGCTGGCAGACTTTCTCGTCACTTCAACCTGAAACTGACTTAGGAATTTATTAGAAAAGCTGAAAAATTATTAGTAAGGGACTAAGTTTATGTAAACTAGGATATACCCACACTTAAGCAATACTGAATTGCTTAAAGAAAGAAATTAGTATTAGTTTTCAATTTTTATCCCAGGTCACATTCAGAGAACCTTCTGTGACTTTCCTAGGATACTGTCCTGTCTCTTATAGCCACAGGGTTGATATAGCCAAGAATCAAATACTGCAGGTGGCTGAACTCCAGTGTAAGTCGAAGTTACAGCCACATCAGCTCTCGTAGGTAAAGAGTAAGTAAGCATTGATAGGAAAAGATAAAATGATGAGAATTCGAATGAAGACCGTTGTGTCGATTGAAATCAGTCCAGATTCCTAGAGCCTTACAAACCACGCTGAGCTTCCCTTCTCACAGAAGCAGCCCTCCCGCCTGCCGGGTAAAGCTGCCCTGCCCTGCCGGGAAACTCCGTAGCCACCCGATCCCAGGCAGGGGTGCCAGGTGTGTTCACGCCCCGCTGCTACTCCATTCCTCTTTTAGGTCTAAAAGGAGTTGTATTTCTTCCTGCCCCAGAGAGATAAGTGGAAATTCCAGCCTGGGAAGATACAGCTAAAATATGAAAAGATTTCTAAGATTTTGTTCATTTATAGTCACCAAAACTTAGGGGTAGTATGTGTGGGATTAGGACCTACGGGTTCTAGTCCAGATGGAGAGGAACGCAGTGCTGGATTGATGGTGAATTTATCGATAGTATTATTCCTGCCAGAAATTCTGGATTCACTATGTTAGCTCCAGTAGTTTGATTAACTGAAAAGTGGACTCAGTGGCAGACTACATTAAACAGTGTTGAAATGCCAGAACTACAATAGAGTAATATAGGAGTCCAGAGGCCTAGCGAGTGAGGATGTTGGGTGGGGGTGACATTGTTAAAATGGGATCTTTGATGCCACTTAACTCCTGGAGCAAGTGTGGGCTTGGCCACTGTCTCGGGCAATGGGGCAACAGTAGTGATCAGAAAGGTTTGACCTGTAGAGATCTTTCAGCCTGGCTCCTTGGTTACAGGGTCTCTAGGACTCGTCTACATGGGCAGCCTATGGAAGGTGTACTTGATCTTCCCAAGTCAAAAAACTCTGGCCTGGTGAACAGAGACTTGACTTACCACTGCAATGGAGACTCAGGGCCTCTTACCCAGTTTCCTTGGCCTGGTCCAGCACACTGACCCAGAGCACCTTGGATGAAGGGGACGATACATACAACCCTGCCACAAGTGGGCACAGTCTTCCTGCTCCCCTTCCAAAGAGACGTCGGAGGGAGACGTGCAGTGGGGAAAAGAAATAATAACAGTGGTGGGGTGGTAACTGGCTCTGAGATGATGATAGCCCCTGAGACCCCCCAAAACCTGTAGTCCATCAGTCAGGGTGTGGATGTGAAGGTGTATTACCAGTCAGCCCAGACTGCTGTAACAAAATACTATAGACTGGGTGGCTTAAACGACAGAAATTTATTTCTCACAGTTCTGGAGTCTGGGAAGGCAACACTAAGGTGCCAGCCAATTCAGTTCCCCACTGGGGGGCTCTCTTCCTCATTTAAAAAAGGTTGCCTTCTCACTGTGTCTTCACATGGCAGGGGAGAGAGATGAAACAAGTTCTCTGATATCTCTTCTACAATACAGGTCACTAATCTCATTACGAGACCCCCGCCCTCATGACTTCATCAAACCTAGTTATCTTCCAAAACTTCCATCTCCAAATACCATTACATTGAAGGATAGGCTGCAACATATGGAGGGAGGGGTGCAGGGGACAGGGGAGGGGGGTGGGGGACACATTTCAGCCCGTAATACGCACCATTTGTGAGATGAACATTTTTCAGGGCCCTGGAAGCATAGTAAATGCACCTAACCAACAACAGTATATGGTGCCACCTTTTTTGGGAGGATCCAGAGACCAAAAGGTGGAAGTAGAAATGGCTCCTCTCATTTGTATACCGGAAATCCCACTTTAAAAAATTGTTGCTTCTCATTCTTGCAACTTTAAACTCTGCTAGTTTAGAAGTCTTGGTTCCCCAGGAAACTGCGACTCCACCAAAGAGTACTACAATGGTCCCATTGACTGCCACCAGGCCCTTGGCAACAAAGAGAGTTACTATACTGGCTGGGGTGTTGTTCCTAACTTTCAAAAGGAAATTGGATTGTTGCTGTCCCATGGGGCAATGAGGACAATGTTTGGAACCAAAGGGATTCTCTAGTCTACCTCCTAGAAACTGCCCAGTGGTAAAAGTTTGTACATTAGAATAACCTAGAGGAAGGAAGTTGTAAGTATCAACTTAGCCTCATGACCAGTCATAAATAAGTTAGTGAAACTTACAGTTTAATAGTTCTGAAACTAAAAAAGTCAGCATTCATGCCTCCTGCCACTACCAGAACCAGTAAGTACAGACAAGGATTGAATCTTTATGGGCACTTTATTCAGATGCCAGCGATCTGAGTACCCTGAAAAACTGTCTTAACATCTCATCTCAAGCTGATCTTTTTATAAGAAGAAAGGATAGGTAAGGGGCTTGGGCAAAAGGTTAATTGGATAAGAGTTGTAAGTCCTAGGTGATTTTCCTAGTATTACCTTTTGTGTTGATCAACAATTCTTTATCTGCATCCCAGACCTTCTCTCCACGGAACACAATGGCTTGCAGAGCCCTGGGGCACAGAGGTTGAATTGCTTGTGACCTCCTTAAGTCATGCATTCCAGTTCCTGGAATAACAGCCTTCCACATGCATTAGTCACTTAAGCCTATCAAATTAAGACTAAAATCTTTAACTCTTGAGTTTCCCTGTCAGTAGGTTACATGATATGTAGGTGGATTTGACAGTGAACTAGGAGAGGAGTGATCATTTAACAATGGATGCAGTACCTGATGGGACTTTGGGTTTCCCACTTTGGTGAGGTGAGCTCATTTGTATTTGAATAAGGGATAGTTACAGAAGTTCGGTGTCCATTGCTATTGCAATTTGAAAATGTAAGTGTAAGAGCATGTGTATGGTGGTCGATAGCCAAAGAGAGTAGACTATCATAAATATTGTCTGGTACCTGGTACCATTCCCACCTCCTCTATCCACACTCTACAGAATCAAAGGGGTTGAACCCTGGGGACTACTTCCCAGACTCCCTTAACATCTGGGTTCTGCCAATGAGGTGCACTCCCATGTGTTTGGAAGACAGAAGGGAAGAAGGAGACATTGTCCCTCAGGCCATATTGGTTGCAGATGATGTACAGGCTTTGGTGACATGAGGTCCTGTGTTAACTGGTCAGACCCTAGATCTGGGAGCAGT